GTACTAAAATGATGGACTGTAGATACCTGGTACTAGTCCAAAGTGTAAAGAGAAAGAGGATATAATTGATACCTGGTACCTTTTCTAAAACAACTAAAATGGCTTAGTAAAGGGGAGCTTTAGAGCTAAAATAAAAAAGGTCTAAAAGCTTGAAAAAACCCCTATGTTTTGTATTATTGTAACTTCAAGACAGATATAAACTCCTTCTACAACCTCTAGTTATTTCTAAAACTCCCATTAACTCCATATACCCTTTTATACCATGAACCTACAGAGTATACCCCGAAAAAAAAGAAAGGAAAACACCACCTTTAGCATAAACTTCAAAGTCGGTTGGGAAACAAAAGTTAATGTTGTAAGTGCCCCAATCAATTTTGGTGGCTACAGCCCAAAAATTCCAAACACAAGTTATTGAACCAAGAATTTTTTATAAATATTTAAAAACAAAAGAAAAAAACAGAAAGAAAACATGAGAGAAAGCCACTCCACATTTGAAGCTTTCCCGGGAACCGAGCAGGTGGAGTTGCCTTTCATTCATCAAATTAGTCGGATAATTAAAGGCGAGTAAGGTGAGAAGCCACACACGGGCAGAGGGAGGATATTCGCTTTCCATTTGGAGTCACAGGACGCGTGGCACATGTCCTTTACTTAGCTCATCCTGAAAGCTGACATTCCACCCGAAACACACGCAGTGGACAAAAGCCGTGGGCCATATGGCCTCTGCATCGTATCTCACACTCATCCTCCACCTTTTGTGTGGCAATGGCAGTGGCATGCAAATGCAACGTACCACATACTACCGCCCCCTGCCGCCTTCTGCCGCCTCCTGCCGCACACCTGCCACACGTGTCTAACTACATCAAGTTATTAGCGCTAATAGAGCCTAAGTGAGGGATTAGATCGATGTTATGACTCCTGGCCGCATCCTAGCCGAGCAATCAAGCCAATAGCACACTCAGGAAATTGTTGGCATTAGTTTTGAAGCACTACTGCCGTCAATTAGGGCCGCAATTATCAAAGTACAACAAAATTTTTGGCTAATGTAATTATCTGGTAATGAGCTCCGCTTTCCCAAAACTTTCCCCCGAAATTCTCAACGCAACTCAACGCAATTCTCAATTAAGTCCTTCTCTCCAAAATGAATTCAAACTTTAATTGCTAATTAAAATCCATGGAATTTCTTTAAAATTTCAATACTCTGATGGCTCTCCTGTTGCCATTCGCCATTCAAATTGAAAATTCAAATCAATTATACTATGCCTCTGGTTGAAATTTTTTAAATTTAATATTCTGCTTGTTTAAGTTTGAACTTTGTACTATAATATAATTATAAAGGATTGCTTGGTACTGGGGAATTATTTGGGTAAAATTGAGTTGATTTTAAGGCTTGTTAACATTTTTGTTTAGTCTTTTTCGTAAATAAACTCCATTTTGCTTTATTTCCATAAAATTGTTACAAAAATAGTTTAAGTTAATATTGTATTTTTAGTTGCATAAATTATCATAATTCTTGGCCTCTTTTTAAAATATTTTCGGGAAACAAAATTATAAAAAATATAAACCCAAAGTTTGCATTAAATTTAATAGATTTTAAATACAAAAAAATTACATATATTTAATTTTTGTATATATCTTGAATATTTTTTCAAGTGAACATTGCAACATCCTGCGGCACCTGTTGTCGTTGTTGTTGCTTTTGGCTGTGATACCTGACAGGACTCAGCGGCGTTGACAGAAGCGTTGACGTTGATGTTGAAGTTGCTGTTGCTGATGATGACGCCCCCGGGCGGTAGCTGTTGTGTGGGGCGTGGCACTTTCAAGCGGTGATGAATGCGCTGCCACAACAACAGCAACAAGAGCAGTAGCAGTAGCAACAATAACAACAATGTCCTGCTTCCTGCGACACTGACAGTGACGACATGTCAACGACTTCCTCTGCTGCTTCCGCTTCCGGAGGCTTCAGGTGAGCTGTGGCAGTGCCTTCCGCCCTTATTTAATTTTTTTTCTTCTTTTTTTTTTGCGAGCAGACGATCTATTTAATAAAATTATTGCCCAGCTTCGTGTGAAACTTTTGATATTTTACATTTAATTTGACAATAATTAATTGAATTGTTTCGCCGGCAGACCGAAAAAGTTTTTCCCTCCCACCGCCTCCCAGTAGAAGTAGACATTAAACGCAGCTGCCACAGCTTTTTGTATGTGTTTGTATCTGTGTTTTGTTGTTGCAGGAATGTGTGTGTGGGTGTATCTATGAGTTTGCTGGGTTGCGTGCCGCCATTAAATGCCACAGTGATTTGAAAGCTGCGTGCCACCGCGAAAGCGAGCTCTTCCAACAAACACAATTCTATACAAAAAGCTATAGCTTTGGATCAGACACAAAGTTTTTCTTTATTTTCTTTCAGTTTCTTCTATTTTTTTTTTTTGGTTGAAACTTTTCTTTAAGGTAATTTGCTTGGATTTTATGGCCAAAAAGCAAAAGGCCCAGGCACGTCGAACCTGAAAATAGACAAAGACAAATGATGGGTGTACAAATCCTTAACGGCAGCCAACTGTCACTCAGGTGCGATTAAATCGGCATCTCACCTGCAAGCCGTCTGCTTTTATTTCACTTCAAAGCTTGGATTTGAAATCAATAATTAAAAGGCCTGAGAGCAGGCACCAGAATAATTTATATCCTTCACTTTAAGTCATTCGGTTTTAAATAAATCAATTGGCAGATATTTAAACGTTTAATGTCTTCTCCGGATACTTTAGGGCGTTTTCTTAAGGTCTTGGAAAAGAGACAAAGTTCCTTTGGAGATTTGTTGGCATGAAATACTTAATGTTTTGATACCTGGTACTTAGGGACTTGGGAAAGAATAAAAGGTATAATTCGTATTTTAGTATTAGGTATTTAATTTTGTAACCTCATGTCATAATCAAAATTGCCCTAATATTTATAGTAGTTACCGTCAAATTATACACTTTTAGAAGACAACATTTTTCAAAATTGTTTAGCCAAGGACCTTTTATAATATTTATAACCATAACTCATACAACTTTTCAGTCTTAAACCTAAATTGTAGTGCCCATTACCGGGTATCTATAGTCTGAACCCAAAACTGAAAGCATTTTTCTTTTTATTCATTTTATTTTTATCTTACAACTTGTACGACCTTTTCAATTACTCCCACTCCGTTGCTCTCTTATTTTGCCATCCATCTCCGTGGCATCTTCTTGTGGCAATTTAAAACTACAACTATTCATTCCATTCCATTCAGCAAGTTGGTCCTTTAGTTGAGTAATTAGCGTGAGCTGGTGTAGCAAGTTCGTTGCTGGGAGCTCGGAGCTCAAAACTCCATTCTCAATCGCATTCGCTTTGGCATTGGGGTATCGGGCCATCAAGCTTGCCACCGAATGCTGAAAGTAGAAAAGTTTGCAGTGCTCCAGATTCCAGAGGATTGGGTCAGTGCCAAGTGCCAAGTGCCACAAAAATAAGAAAAACACATTTTCAAAATTGATTGGTGGCCAAAGTAAAAAATACAAAAAATACGAAATGGGGGCAAAAAATTGTGTGGCGCCTTGACGCATTTTGTGGCAAGTGGCTGGGGGTGGGGGGGAAGTTCAGATGGAAGTTCATTGCCTGCAATGATTGCACACAATATTCGAAAGGATATACACAGAGTGTACCAGTATGAATAGTATCAGGACGATGACGTTGCCAGCTTGTTATTAGCCATTAACTTTTGTTGCCAGCAAAACATTGATAAACAAACTCTTGATTGAAAACCAACAAAGCGCATGGCTCAGTAGATTTCCGAATGGCCCCCAGAGAATGGAAAATACTCTTTGGATGAAAACTGAAAACTGGGATGCTATGTAGGATGCTGGGATGCTGTGATGCTGGGAGGCATAAAGGAAAACAATGAGGCCGGCGTATCTAAATGTTGAACGAGCGTGGGCGGCATATTGCAGCTAATCCAGCCTGGCCCCCTCCCATCCAACCATCCTTCCGTCCTTTTGTCCTTTCTATTCCTTTTCATTTGGCCTCGCCTCCTCCATTAATTAAGGAAGTCGAAGTCGATTCGATGGCAGAACCAAAGGGGCCGCAAATTCCCAGACAAACCTCGGGCAATGCAGCCCGCAATGGGATCTCAGAATGATGTTTCTGGCCTTTGATGTTCTCACATGACTTTTAGTCTGCGACTAAATGCCACTCCATGGCCATTCGTAGATGGATTTCCAAAATTAGGGGCAACAACTACTCATTAAAAACAGATCACAAAGGAGTAGTCCAAAAGGCTTCAAGGCTTTTTTTGAAAAAGGATAGGTGTAGGGGTTCAACTCCCCATAAAGCAGAATATTTTTATACCCTTGCAGAAGGTATTATAATTTTGGTTATAATTTGTTTCTTTTGGGGGCTGCTTAAGTGCCACCTTTCATTAATTTATAAACTATTTTTCATAAAAAAAATGGAATTGTTTTTTTTTTAATTTTATTTTTTGGCGCTGCTTAAGTGCCACCTATGAGAATCGAGGAGGAGGGCGCTGTTTTTATTCATTAATTTATAAATTATTTTCCAAAAAAAATGGAATTTAATTTTTTTAATTTCATTTTTTGGCGCTGCTTAAGTGCCACCTATGAGAATCGAGGAGGAGGGCGCTGTTTTTATTAATTAATTTCAATTATTATTATTTTTTCATAAAAATAAGCACGTTTGCCATGTAACTTTTCTAGCTTTGTTATTTAGAATCTCATAACTAAAACATATACAAAGCCAATACAACTCACCAAGCATCTTTTAATCTTTCTACTCATTATTTATTACTTAAATAAATTAATTTTTTCCATTTAATTAATAACTTAAGTGACACATATTTACGTCATTTGAAAATCATATCCTGCATGACAAATCGCTTTAAACTTAAGACTTTAATTTGGGTATGTATTTTTCTCTCAACTAATTCATAGCATGGATTATCATTTAAACAGAAATTTCTTTCCCAAGTAGGCCTCAAACTAAAATGTCAAATTGTAGCCCCAAACTGCTTTCCCATTTCTAGTCATTCAACGTATCGTCCCCGAACAGTGAGGTCGATTTTAAAATTAAGTCTGATATTTTTTGAAAATTACAATATTTTGTGTCGGTCAGTTCTAATCTCTCTAATGGGGAGAGACAAATCGCTTTTAGACAAGCTCCGCAAAAAGCGGAAGAACAGGCGCCGTTTGATATATAATCCTTTTAAAAGTGCTGGTATCGTATTGAAGAAACCATGGGCAAGACCATATAAAAGATTCTTGAAGAACCAAAAAAGACGACAAGCTTCGTCAGAACTTCAGGAAAAGTGGAACGAAAATGAATTTAATCCTTCAACGGTAAGTTCAAGGGGATCTATAGATCTATAGTTTGTGTAATGTTCTTCTCTATCTTCAGTGTGCCACGTCCGATTTGATGGCTGCAGAATTGTACAGAGGATCGAGCTGCTGGCCAGACACTGGTGTTACACCCAACGAGATGCCCAAACGTTAATATTTCAATCGTTACAATAAGTGGCACAAATAGGCGGTGTCCCGCATGACACGTTATACCTTATACACGTTATACGTTATATACGTTTATGTTAAACACAATAAATTCTAAGTATTTTAAAATTTATATTTCTGGAAATTTTATTTGTCAAGTTTGAAGTTTTTCTGAATTTGAATAAATTTTATATGGCCCAGAGTCACTGTGACTGAGTGACTGATCGGAAATGGTATTTGGAATATAGAAGCTTGGAACTTTTTTTTCGATTTCCTTTTGCAACAATTTGGTTTTATTATGATATTCTCATGAGGATCGGAAAACTTTATCCGATGTAAGCAATATTTATCCGGTTTTCACTGCAAGGGTATATAAACTTCGGCTCCGCCCGAAGTTAGCTTTCATTTCTTGTTTTTTTCAGATTTTGATGAAGAATTATGCAGAATGATCCTGAAAAAACCCAATTTACAAGAAAAACTTTTTCCCACAAAATTTGGAAAAAAATCTAAAAAATATTTTGTTGCAGGGTTTTGATGCAGATTGGTAGTAAATCGGTCCAGAATTCATTTAAGGTATTCCGTTTGAGAATCGGATGAAAATTGGCTGAGATATGGCTATGACTCTGAACCATACCTGAAAAACCCCATTTTACACGGGGTCTCCCCACAAAATTTGGAAAAAAAATCTAAAAAATATTTTGTTGCAGGGTTTTTATGCAGATTGGTGGGAAATCGATCCAGAATTCATTTGAGGTATTCCGTTTGAGAATCCGATGAAAATTGGCTGAGATATGGCTATGACTCTGAACCATACCTGAAAACCCCATTTTACACGGGGTCTCCCCACAAAATTTGGAAAAAAAATCTAAAAAATATTTTGTTGCAGGGTTTTGATGCAGATTGGTGGGAAATCGGTCCAGAATTCATTTGAGGTATTCCGTTTGAGAATCGGATGAGAATTGGCTGAGATATGGCTATGACTCTGAACCATACCTGAAAAACCCCCTTTTACAAGAAGTCTTCCCACAAAATTTGGAAAAAAATCTAAAAATTATTTTGTTGCAGGGTTTTGATGCAGATTGGTGGGAAATCGGTCCAGAATTAATTTGAGGTATTCCGTTTGAGAATCGGATGAGAATTGGCTAAGATATGGCTATGACTCTGAACCATACCTGAAAACCCCCATTTTACAAGGGGTCTCCCCAAAAAATTTGGAGAAAATCTAAAAAATATTTTGTTGCAGGGTTTTGATGCAGATTGGTGGCTTTAAGGCTTTTGTTATATAGTTCCTAGAATTCGACCTCTAATTAAGAGATATATTATCATAAGCTTAGGTATTGTATGGGTAATGGAGTTCGAAACCCAGGAAAAAAGGCAATCTTTGCTCTTTTTATACAACCCATTAGAACATGGGTCTGACTCCCTTTTAGAAAATCTTTTCTATTCTTTTTGCAGAGTCTCCAACTTTCTTTTGGAACTTTCGGACAAAAGACAATTGCAATTGCACAAGGATAATGCAAAGGGAGGATGGCAAGGCGTTAACAAAGTCACAAACACTGCGAGAACTCGGTCAATGTTCAATGAGCTTAGCCAGATGATTCCTTGGGAGCCACTTCCCTTTGTTCGGCTTTGTTCAGCGATGCCTGGCTCTGTCTCTTTCTCAGGCAGTGACAGCCGTCCCTTTCGGACAGGCATGTGCCGTCTCTGAAAATCCCTGGCGAGTGCAAAAGATTAAGATTATGCAAATCGAAGTACAACATGCAAAATGCAACAAAAGGCAAACAGCACAGAACAACGAGCTGAAAGTGGATGGATGGATGGGTATGGATGGTATGGTTTTTGGGTGGTTTTTGAATGGGGCTTTCGGTGGGTTTTGGTTGTGTTCGGTTCTCTGTGTGTGTGTGTTAACAGTTAGCTGACACAACTGACAATATGTAAGCCGCCTGACCCCTCCAAATCCCCCAACCGGCAATCGCTGTGGGAAGGCAGTGACATTAATGATGTCAGGGACTCTGAGCAGGACCCAGACAGAGCCAGACACAGATACGGATACAGATGCTGCATGGCCGGATGAAGATGTATATATTCTCTGAAAGAGGCATAATCTGATGTGCTTCTTTAAAGTCGTCTTCGAAATCAATTCTCTGTTCTGGATTCTGGGTTCTGGGTAGTGGGTAGTGGCTGGTCATGGTCAGAGGACTCATTAATCATAATACACTGCCCACCATATCCTACTCCAATATTATAGCCAATATATATACGTGTATACGTATATAAATCACATCTCGTTCGATCCGGAAAGTTTCCGGGCCAGGCTTTTGGTTTAGGCCTCATTAATGTAGGCCCAAAATGTCAAATAAGTGAAGGATATTGCTTTATTTTATGCGATTTTATTTGCACACACACACTGGCACACTCATGCACACTCGTATACACTCACTAACACTTACGAACACTCACTCACACACTGATAGAAATAAGCAAGGAACCGTTATTGCTTACATACGTCAATCGCAGTTGGAGAAGAAAAAGTTGAAGACGCGTAAATTGGGCCAAAAGGACCAAGAAGGCAGCCAGGAAGGTCCTGGTCCTCGTCCTGGTCCTGGCCTTCCTTACCCAGTCAGTCGGCAGAGAGGGCAGATAAGGAGGCAAAGCAAAACACAAAACACAAATAATAATAAAAGAAGTTAATGAGATTGGAATACAATAAAACTTAAGCGCATTTTTAAGGTTGAGTTTTTCCCGACTTAAGCCCCGGGAAAATCGATTGCTCCAGTCGCTTTTTTGCAGGCATTCATGGTGGCAAAAAAAAAAAAGCAGGAAAGGAAGCACCAAGCTGGAGATAGGATATAGAAGGTGGAGGGCGGTGGTAAGCAGCTGACAGGACAGCAACAGGATCCCGGACCGGACAAGCCAGGACAACGACAAATTGTTTGGGCCTGTCTCGAGACCAAAGGCGCAAATGCAAACGCCGCCAGAAGCGTTTATGCGGAGCTACAAATTATGAATTAATAGCAAGAGGAAACTAAGGCCGACATGCCGACAAACAGATATATCTTAAAAGGCTCTAAAGGGTAGGAATTTGGGGACTCAAGAACTTAAAGTGATTTAAAGACTGAAATATGAAAAAAGTCAGGAAATTAGATTTAAAGAAAAGCAGACAGATTAACAGACGGACAAGACTATATAAATTCAAAAGGTAGATATCTTAACTTTAGTCTGATACCTGGCAGGCTTTCAAGACAGAGTTTCTTCAGAATTCCAAAATATCTTTTCCTAAATTTCCTCACAGCATAAACCCATAGCCCTCCATATTTTCTCACTTCCCTCTAGCTCTAGTGTTTGTAGAGGGTGTTTTTTGGGGTGTAGCACTTTTGGTTTTGGGTCTAGGGTGTTGGGTGTTTGAGTGTTTGGAGGGAGTGCTGGAGGAAGTCCTCTCGGGTGCTAAGATGATGAGTCGTGGCCAGGGCAGTCACAAGCTGTGGCCACAGCTGAATCATGGCAACTTATTGAGCCCGTTCCCGTTACCACACCCGCTACCCACTTTCACACCGACACCCACTCCTATACCCACATCCACAGAATCGGAACCATTCCGGACACTCGATGTCCGGCATTCGGCATCGGGGATTGGCTCTCATTAAACTTGGCATTCAAATCACATCGCTAGGCCAGCCAGGGCCTAGGCAAACTTCACTTTCACTTGGGCCCTGCTTTCTCTGCTTTCGCTGCTTTCCACTTGGAATCACATTGAACGAGGGGGGAAGGAGGGGAATGTAGGGAGAGTCTTGGATTCAGATGTGCTGGCGGTTTGTGGATTGTGCTGTGTGGGTGGTAAGTCAGCTGTCACTCTTAAACAATTTGCTTACTCACCAAAGTGTGGCCAGAACAGAACAATAACCGGGGCGCATTAAGCTGGAGAAAATGCAAACAGAATGTGGGCGTTCACATCCAGATCAAAGAAAGTGTAAAAATAACAAAAATCCTATACAGAATCAGCGGAAAAATCGCAAAGATTAAGAGGAATGGAATGGTTTCTATACTAGGATAGAAAGGTTTCATGTTTAAAGTTGGAGTTTAAAATTTTAATAAAATATAGTGAGAGGACTTGTTAGATACTACTCTTGAAAGATACTGAATTTTAAATATAAGCATTACTTTTATGAAGTCATATAGTCTAAAACGAAACTCTGTTCTTCCAAAAATATGTTTAACAGAAACCTTAACAGAATACCAGGCTTACTTCTCAGATCTCCCCTACAGGACTTATGCATTTTTCATAGCATACTTATCTGGTTAAGTCTTAAGGTAGGATTCCAAACATTCTAAATACCCGATTTAATTTGAATTATGTATTTTCGTGTCTCCAGCCATACGATGAGCCATCGAAATGCCAGAGAGAATGGCACGAGCCAGGAATTTCAGAAGTTTCCTTCCTGATTTGCTTCCGACGGCAAGTTCCTAGTTCAGTTCCTTTCTCGATGGCACTCCCCACCACCCATCCACCCATCCTGTGAGTCCTGCGGACATGCATGCATGCGGGTATCCGTGTATTTGTGTGTGTATGGGGGAAAATGTGGAAATGGAAAATGGAAAATGGCAAAAGTCTCGATGGCATGCGTTGATTGGCCATTGGCATTTAATCACGACACCACTCGAACGACCCACTTTGCGCAAAAATTCCTCCGACAACGGAGGTCTGTTCTGTTAATTTTCTTCCCAAAAATTGTGCAGACCACAAGTCCGTGGCACAAACAAAATGTGAATTATTCAAGAATTGCATTTGCATTTCGATTTGGAGAATGTGATTTCCTTTGTGATGATGTGGAGGAAAACAAAAAAAAAGAAATCAGTAGTCATCGGCAGGCAAAACCTGCATCTCAATCGAACATAATTAAATCGGAGAAATTCAAAATTGACCCAGAAAAGCACTCGCAACTCGCAAAACAATTGAGATGGAAGGAAAATAAAGAGCATATGCTTTTAAATGGCAATCAAATCAAATTATATTGATTTTGCATATTCGATATAATAGTTTGGCCTGGCTGGGACTGGCCTGGAAAATTTTGTTGTCAAATCAAGCCAGTATCGATTTCGATAGAGGAAAACGCGAAACAACAAGAGTACTACTAT